ATGATTGCCACTGGTAAGTTGTACGGAGTACGTTATTTTTGAGGTAGATTTATATGCTTCATATAACTTTGTATTGCTGATAGAACGGCAGAGTGCATCATGTGAAATCATGTCTCGATGAGGTCAGAATATATTCGTTGACTAGGCGTAAATCAGGGAAGTTTGATGAAATACACGGGATAAATCTCATGCATCGTATTAATAAGCATCGTTACATCGGTGCTCGTGGTCGGACGGAAATACATGAAGTTTGTGTTCAACAGTGGGCGATTTTTCATGTACAGTCGTACTAACATAGATTCTATTGAAGTTGTTTGGAGCTCTTCTTGAAGAATCGCAAATACACACTTGTGAGAGTGCTCGGTATCTGTTCTAATGATCCAAGGCATAGGCTGGCAAGAATCTGTCAGCTTCAGTGATAATTGTTTCGGACGGAAGTCCCTCACTGCCGTTGCTTATAACCTTGAAAGTCTTATACATTACAAACGGAGTTTTTTAAAGAGTGCCGGGAGAAATCAGGGAATTAATCAAGAATAGTTAAGAAAACATGGTTTAGTAATTTGTAAATGCAGAGTTGGGGTGATGTTAAAATATTACCTTCCTTATATCAAGAGTCAAACGAAATGTCTTTTTGAAATCCGCAACATACGAACTGAAGAAGTACAGTGCATTCATGCTACAAACAGGTCTGGTTTCTCCTCAGCTGGTCAAAAATAAGTGCCCCACAAACTCCGCCGACCCATCAAGCATGTGCAACTTTCCACTCAAGTTTCAGAGTGCACTATATTGGGAGGACACAATTACTTTGGTTTGAGAAAACCAACGATTTAGGTTGTAAATTAGGTCATGACTTTGGAGCCAGAAAACAGTAACTTCAAGTCATATTTGTGAGTTAAGGACCGTTGGGAAAATCCATGGGACCTTAACTAGAATCATCCGTGATAAGTACATCACTTTGTCCATCTTCAGTGAAGTTTCATCGACAAAATTGCTTCTAGAACCCAGATCTTTCCTTAAAGGCAACTCACACAGTAAAAACAATATGAAGAACTGTAGATGACAGCCATTTAATATATCCGGTTCATTATGCCATGAGCAACTAAATCACTTCTCATAATCATACAATAGACAGAGAGTATCACCAGAGTATCCAACATTTTGAGAAACGATTGCAGACCTAGTCTAAGTTATTTTTTCTTTCCATTTAGTTGAAAAGCGTCAGAGGAAGTATCAGGAACGCTAAAAAGCTGACTGGGAATGTTTTTCACTGAGTTATCAACTCGAGAGTCACTTTTTTATATTTTTATTTTATTATGCCTTGAAACCACACAATGTTTCGGTACTAGTATGGAATTTTCAGCACATGATATCGGTAGTACACATTTAGCAGGCCGACCATTGATATCAGGTGTGCGTCGAGTGAGAGTAGAACCCTAGACCATTTGCATGGTCGGCGAGCGTCCTAACCACTGTGCCACCGACGCACAAACTACTTGTAGAAGAAGATCCCTCGATCAGCCCATTCAAGGGTGTATTAGATGAGTACATATGCGATGGTTACCTTAAGCTTGAAGCCTACATTCCTCAGCTAAAAATTTGAAACGTCCTAATCCAAAATCCGATATTGAATATTGTATTCGACCTTGTCCGTGACTAGCGCAGAAATAGAACGTTCCGTTACGAAAGGAATTGTGGTTGTTCTTCATATGCATTAACCACATTTATTTAGAGAATGTGTGTCTAAGTACGTATTTTAGTTATCTATATTTATTCTTTAAATGGTGTGAATGTTGGATTGAGCCTTTCATTCTATATATACAGTTTACTTCTTGCGAAAAATGATTTCATTCAATATAAATTGAAGGAAGTGTAGTTATTCTTCATAACATTTATATTTTGCGTGTGTTTTATTTTATCTTGTTATTGGCTGCTTTTTCACAACCTGTCAAGGGAGTGATTTGTCGCAAACATTAACCTACATCTTTTAAGACGACCTGACACTCTTAGCACTACAAATGAAGTTGGTGCAAATCAGCTAGATTCTCCAGTATCACAGATGATTTTGAAATGTAGTTAAGACAGAGTCATCTTATGTTTGTGGTTATCTATGTGTGTTCACATGTACCGCAAGCTAGGATTAGGAGTTAAAGACCATCCCAAGCTTACAATAATGCTGAATTAAATCTCAGTAAATCTGAAATAATTCTTGCATCCTATAGTGAGTAAATTCTGAATCTGTTCTGAAATGGTTTGTTTAATGGCACAGACTAGAACTCAGTGCTGGTTTTCAGCATGACTAGAACGAATTCAGCACCGTGTTCTTTTTCTAGGCATTTTCACGAGTAGATCAGAACATACTGGGTCTCCTTATCAGCGTTGTTCCAGCCATTACAGGACATATTAAGCTCTGACTAGCATTACTTCAAGACGAAAAGACCTAATTCAGCACATAGTGGCAATTTTTTCAGCTTAATTCTAGCCTTCTCAGCATATATTCAGAACTGACTAGCATTACTTCAGAACGAAAAGACCTAATTCAGCACATAGTGGCAATTTTTTCAGCTTAATTCTAGCCTTCTCAGCACATATTCAGAACTGACTAGCATTACTTCAGAAGGAAAAGACCTAATTCAGCACATAGTGGCAATTTTTTCAGCTTAATTCTAGCCTTTTCAGATTTTGTCGCATTAATTCAGCACCCAGCTCTCTTTTTAAGCACGACCAGCGTTATTTAAGAACATAGTGGGTAGAAAAAAATTTTCATTTACCATAAAAAGGCATTATCAACGCATAGGTTAGAATAAGTTTAGAATTGTTGTAAGCTTGGGATGTCATGTGCTGTTTTTCAACTTTGTCATATTGTACAATAAACGTGTTGTTGCTGTTAATATTTACAATCCTACCCGTGTGATATACATTACTCCTAAATTACGCGGTGTCGAATTTCTTTACTGTGATATTTGTTCGTTTTCTCAAAGTTTTAGAAAGAAAAAATCATTGTTTACAGAATACCAATCAATCCATTTGTGTAGGCAAACTTTGAATTACTGAAGTTTGCCGTGAGAGCTGACATTTTCAGAAGATGCACGACACTTAATATTCTGAATATTTTTGCTGTTGCATAGGATCTCCAAACTTCCATGCTGCGTACTCCTTTAGTCCTGTTCGTGTCTCCTCCTCCACCTGTCTTTGTATTATCATAATTCAGACGCCTCTATTTAAGTCCACAACATCTATTGCTTACAACTATTTCGTAACCAGGGTTATCATTTATCTTACTCTTCAAATACTAGGGGGAATCTTGGAAAGGTTATTTAACTGAATCAAGTTACTTGTAGATTCCTTAGTTCTCTTTCATTAAGGAAGGCTGTATTCAGTGAGATATTATCATGTAGGATATTCAGTTTGTGAAAAACTTTGTTATTAATCAGTTCCTCGTTACACAAACCATAAAGAAAAGTTAACCCGCACTAGGCCCACGGATTTGTTCTTATTGTACCTGTTCATTTCAGATGTACTTAGTATTTAAGCATTTTATTTGCACTAACTCATACTTTTGATGGGGGATATACTTTGATTTTTCGTGGCAGACGATAGTTTCTTATTTAAGCACTCGATATGTTTGAAAAGTGCTTTGAAAGTAGGTAGTACTACTACTTTTGTGCTTAAATTCATTTAGTACTGCAGTGTTAATATTCGAGGTTAAGTCATTGCTTCTGTGTTGTGTCTTATCTATTGACTAAAATAATGGCTTTTTTAAGCTAAACTTGTCAGACTTATCTTAACGTCAGTTGATTAATACGTCAGTCTAGAAAGCTAGGTAAATTAGTAGATTAGAAGTTAATTGGTGGATAGTGACTAGCAGTGGAATCCAGGATGGGCATTTCGTCCTACTTGGGACTTTTCATCTGGATGTGCCTGCATTCCGCAGTGTGATGTTCCCACCGAGGCTCGAACCCAGTGCCCATAGTTTCAAACGCCAAAGCGTTATCCAGCCTCTGGGGGAACACCATCACTCACTCACTGGGGAATGCAAGTACATCCAGATGACGAGTCCCAAATAGGACGAAATGCTCATCCTTGATTCCACTGCTAGACAGCATCCTCCAATTAACTTCTAATTACGTGTCCAGACATCGTCGAAACATCTGCACAAGAAGTCGACATGTCAGTCTGAGACCGAGCACTTCTTTCGAATCAATCGACGGGAAAATCTAAAATTCACTTGAAATTTGTACATTGTTTAATTACTCAAGATGGCTTATAGTTCACGGCTTTCTTAGAAGCTTAGCCTATTTACGATACCTCACGAGGTTTTAAGGCTTTAAAGTTACTTGTGTGTCGTTTTTATTATAAAGAATTTCGACGCATTCAGTGACGTGAAATGGTCCGTGAGCCTCCTCAAATTTGTTCAACCTGTACATCACATAACGCTAGGCAGCAGTTTTGTGTGAGTCAGTAGAGATTTGGCTGAATTTCATAATAGAATAATTTTGTCTCATAAAGCATACAGTATTGCTTATTTGCTTATATCAAGATTATAGTTTACTGCACAGTCAGAAATGTCAATAAGGTACTGCATTTTTAAATAGAGCTTTGCTATTTTAAAACGTTTTATTGAGTTTTATTGCATTCATTTCTGTCAATATTTAGTTTTTCCCATTTGACGTGTAATGGTCACTATTCTAATATGTAAGACTTATCTTTCAGTTATGAGGACTAATGGTGCTAAATTGTACACGGTCGATAGGCGAGGTAAAAATATGCATTTGCAGCACCTTGTTCCACTATTTATTTGCTTATGGGTTTCACTGATCTCTGCTCTTGGAGATTTAGTTTTCTTCTTCCTCTGCAGCCAGCTTGTAACTTATGACTTAACCACTTAGTTTTGGTGTATAACATTTGACTGTCGAATCTGTTTTTCTTCTATATATCTTATCAGCTTTTAATGCTTTCCGCTGGTGTCCACTTCTCAAAGATGAATCTTCTATTGCAACAGAATGCGTAGATCTGAGTCTGATTTAATGCTACCAAGTGGAAGTATTCAAGAATTCTATGATCACTGGGATAGTTGTAAATCAATAATTAATGACAGTAATAATACTGTCCTGTCTATTGCTAAAATTGAATCAGTCTTTAATCATGTTGGAAAAATTATACTTCTAGTAGTTGATGAACACTTTTCTTATAGTAAGTCGTCTTTTATTGTTGTTGTTGTTGGTAGAATAGCTTAACTGATGATTTTTGATAGTTTTATGTTTTAAGGCACATATCATATTGTTTATTTTGATTTATTTAGTTATTTTTTTTCACCCCTTTGCAACATAAGGCTCCAGACTTAAAGTTTCGGTAGCTTTGGGGTTGTTTTTACTGGTTTTGGTTTCTAACGTCTATCCAAGTAGGTGAGGTCTAGGAGGTGGGCCGGCTGATAGTCGAAACTAGGACTAGGTACGCAGTTGGCCAGCATCCCACCACTGAACTACCAGTGCACGTTATACTTCTAACAAATAAACGTCAGTGAAACTGTAGTTCTTCGGCTTAGTTATTTGATTTTTAACCAGTAATTCGTGATTTTGAATCTTGTTCTGTCTCGAAGAGCTTAGATTAGCAGACAATCTGACTGACTGAGTTTCAACACAGGACTTTGCATAGAGGTACACCGGTTCAATTTACCACGCTCCATGGAGCACACGGAGGTAAACGAAGAAGAGGAAACAAAGAGATTCAAAATTAGTACAATAAGCAGAAATATGGGGGGGGGGGGAAAGAATAATTACTTGGGGAAACACGAAGATTTAATAGATGTGGGAAATTACAAAGACTGATTGGATCTACGCTATTGAGAACAATTTTGAACCAGATCACCAAAAGTCTCAGGCCATTGGTTATCAGCATCTTGATGACTCCAACCAGTCAGGCAGTCTACACTTCTCTACATGGCTCCATTCAACAGTCAAATGAACCCATCAATTGATTCCAGGTTTCGACTAGACCACATCTAACTCGTTTTCAACCCAACTCTATACCAGCTTACATTGTTAAAGGAGGAAGGCGGTGGCTAGTCATGCGTAACACATGTCCTAGCTATCTGAATCAATATAGCTTCACAACTTCATCGATTGACTCAATCGCCCTACCTAGCACTTTACGCCTAACCTCGATATTACTCACCATATTATACTACCTATCACGGGAAACAGAAAGCAGACACCTATGATCAAAGACAGCTAACCGGCTTTTTCATGTTTTCCAATTTCAATAACCATGTTTCAAAGACATGAAGGAGAACAGAAAGAACTGTTGCGGGTGAAGTTCAACAATAGTGTCCCCAGGAGTGCAAACACTCCAATGACCTTAAACGCATGCTAGTCGTTGGCTGACGGCATCTGTCGCTATCATAGCTGAAATATCAACACTGTTCAACAAGCAAGCAGCAAATTTCACTCAGATCACGTTTTTAAGTAAAGTTTGGACAATGTGTTAATAGCTCGTTAGGGTTAGGATTAGGGTTAAGGTAAGTATTAGGGTTAGGGTTAGGATCAGGGTCATAATTAGCATTAGGGCTAGTGTTAAGTTTAGGGTTAGGGTCAAGGCTAGGGATAGATTTAGAGTTGATGTCATTTATTTTAATTTGTTTTCTTATCCACATTTTCCCGGTAAGTAGTCGTCGGTCCTCTTTCTGGAAACCATAGTAATTCAACCGAGGGCTTTTGGGGAATACTGTACAACAAGATGAGAGAGATAAACATTTCACAAAAACAACTCCTCTTTAGTCACTTCGGCCTAGTCTAACTAGTCTAACTTAGCAACTGATACTCCTCATTATTAACTGGGACATATCTTTGAGCCGTGTCAGAAAAAGATACCCTGTTTAATGTGTTTTCATACATTTTCTTGTAACTATGCCTCATTTTTGTGCAAAAATCACTAATTTTTATAATTAGTTGGCTAAAGGTCACTCGCGTGTTCGCATCCCTTGTATATCTCCCCTCGTATCTCATCAGGCGGAACCAGAAGCCTATATAGAAAACTATATGCTCGCACTAGCAAGTACAAAAACTCAACCATACCCTACTTAGCTCGTGTTCTGTGCGATAAAGAAAGCATTAGGCGTGATACCTATAACTTATTAAATAGTCAGTAGAACAACTGGATCTCGTCTTTCCAACTCATATCATTTATAGGTACAACGTTTTCTTTCTTTTCCTTTTCTCTTTTTTGTTTTTGTTATGTGCTGCTTTGTTTCTCACTTCCTTACAAACTCTATTTAAAACATTCTTCTTCGTTGTTTCACACTCTGTATATCTCGACCTTTTTGTTACTGCTTACGCCAGCAAATATGCTAGCATCTACTTTTCTAACACCTTCAAACACTCTGTTCAATTTTGGCTTTACTACCGACATGCTAATATGTTGTTGTCAAAACTAACCGAGATTACCCTTAATCTATGTAGAATTTTATTTATTGTTAATGTACTAACTGGATGCAATACTGTAATAAAATGCTGAGAATTCCATTCTGTATCACAAGTACTGTTTTGGAATAAAGCAAATTATTATTCCTTGGGACGCTATTGTTGAACTTTGCCCGTTGCGGAGTACATACATACGTCCTTTATTTCACCTAAAATATTTGTAGGGCAAGTTTATATACTGATCTTTGGAACATACTTATCTTAGGGACCAGATTTCTACTGACGCACCATTACTGAATGATGACCGTAATTCTATCTGTTTATCTTCACTATAGATAGGCGGTACCAGTTTGGAATTCGTGGATTTCACTAGTTGAAAGTCGTATAATTTAATTCTTTTATTCAAGTATTCGTTTGCAGAGATTTGGTTGATTGGTTACAGGATTTCATCATGAGCTGACATTAGTTAGAGAACCATTGAAAAACCAGCTGGGAGCACTGGACAGCTGTTTCGTCCTAGTTTGGGACTCTTCATCAGTACGCACCCAATCCAATCTAGGGTCCCACTGGCTTAATGGCCTACGAGCTCGCCTTGTAGCCAGAAGGTCCTGGGTTCGAACTTCAGTGGGGTTGGTGCTCACTGACGAAGAGTCCAAAAGTAGGACGAAACAGCTGTCCAGTACTCCCAGGTTTTCCAATGGTTCTTTAACTAATGTCAGCTCATGATGAAATCCTGTAACCAATTAATTCTTTTAATTTTGTACCAGAATTTGTTTAATCCGTCTGCCTACCTCTTTTTTTTGTGACGATTTTGTTATTATCTATTTATCCTTAATAGAATCAGAACAAAATACTGTACAACAAGGTTCATATCTTGAAGCAGTACTACACAATAATATATTCCAATCACTTCTTATATGGATTGAAGCTAGTCCCACGTTGAAAGACGATAAATCTTTGAGTACACGTGATGTTTTGCGCAGAAATCTTATCATTGCCTTTGAACAATTAATAACACAATCAAGACAAAATGTTCTACTGCATAGACCAATTCTACAACCATTATGTCAATTATTATTCAAATTATCATCACAATTACGACCAGGCTATGATCAAACCTATGGACGTTTATTGCATAGTGTCTGTGTTTTATTGTGTAGAAATTATCAATTATTAGACTATAGTAGACAGGTATGTTTAATTTTGTAAAATTTACTATTTTGTTGTTTTGAATTTTTGTGTACAGGTTTAGGTGAATTTACATTTGGCTTTTTGTTTCAAAACAACATGATTTGAGACAGATAGAGGGAGAGAGAGTCGTAGATAACTATGCAACAATGGACATGTAGTTTCGTCTTAGTTTGGCACTCTTCAGCGGTATTATTATTATTAAAGAACAGGCAAACAAACAAAATTAAGTCATCAAAATCAACAAAGTTGTTACCATGACAGTAGAAGTGATTGAGTAACTCTCTCTCTTTTTTATGCACAGCTCCGGTTTTTCTATGTGAATAGCCAGAGCTTCAGCGATACAAAAACAAGACGATACAAACCGTATTGCCTTTGGTAGGTTATTCTTGACTCTGTAGATTACTTTGATGAAGCAGGAGGCGTTTGTTGACATGGAATGATCAGTGTTAACCAGGTGTGTTCAATTATCTATCGCACTCCTTATTGCACCACTATTGGCGTTTTCGCAACCATGCTGAATAGTGAGTGTTCTTGAATCCTCTCTCTTGGATAGGGTGTGCGTCGAACGACCGATGTACCTGGCTCCACAGCAGCAGGTGGACTGATATATGCACACAGAAGTGGTCAGATGCGGGATCTTGTCCTTGAGGCTTCTGCAGATCATCAGTGGGCGACTGGAGAACACTATTCCTAGCGTTGCTGCAAAGAATGTTCTTCTCAGAGATGATGTGATCCTTCTCTTGAGAATATAGCTTGTTAAATCTCCCTTGAAATCCAAGTTCATGTAGAGTTTCTTTCAAGGCGCGAGTGAAGTTTCGTTTCTCCAAATTCTCGGTTTGATATTTTTGTCAATGAATCTTATTGGGTATCCATTTTGGATGAAGATTTCTCTTAGAGTATCTAATTCTGTTTCCAGAACGTCGGGACGTCGGGAAGAGTCCAAAAATAGGCTGACGAAACAGCTGTCCAGTACTCCCGGTTGGTTTTCCAATGGTCTTCTAACCGATGTCAGTTCATGGTGAAATCCTGTAACTAATCAAATCCCAAGATTAACTGATAGTAGATCGTGTGAAACTGATCTATCTGACCTGAAGCGCAAACCAATCCCCCTTATGATATCTCTTTTTTTCCCCTTCGACAAATATACGACATTTTGTTGAATGCCAATTAATAAAAAGTTCAGCAGTACATTTTGTCAACCAAGGACACACCACTGAGGAACGGTTATCTCATGCATTGGGATAAGATGCCATCCATCAAGGATAATGCTTTTTCTCATGTAGTAGTAGAAACTTGCGAAATCGCAGGTTGTAAATGTTTGAAATATCCGCCACAGTAAACAACACTATTTTACTATATTTAAACAAAGCGAATCAGAGAAACTGTATGCAATATATTGATGGAGGTTTTCAGTAGCTGAAGTTTTAAGCAGGCCTCTGAGAAAGGACCTTTTTGTTCCAATGGTATTCACCAAGTTGTGTGAGAATATATGCTCATATATTCAGCCTGATACTGTTGGCATTACAACATTATCAGATGTCAAAAGTTAAAAATCACTAGCCATTCGATTTTTAGCCTGAGGAGTGACTGTCGACGTACGCACTTTGTAACCTAATGTTTCTGGACTCGATCCTGACAAGTTTGTGTGTACACCCTGATAAATGAATGGTTGTTACGTACTAGGAATCACTGAGTATTGATGAGTCTTGGTGTGTATTGATTACAGGTGTCATTCACTAAACTGGAATAAAAGTCATTTAGCATATATTATTATACTGATCGCGTTTCTGATCGGTCGAATTAGTCCAATGTGACGATATTTTATTGTTGCTGTTGTTGATAGAATCACAACCTTATTTTCAGAAGGAATAATGAACTTCTCCTTATGATGAAATACTTGTCTGGTTATTGTTCCAGTGTGTTCCAAAAGAATGCCTTTTTGGGCTAACAACTACCTGTTACGCATAACGCACTCAGCACCCACCTAGTATAAACATTTGTGAAGATATGACTCGTTGACGTTTATTAATGTTTGATTTGACACCAATTGATACGTTTCACAAGGTTTCATAGTTTATGCGGGGGCTGGGATACTGCCCGGATACCCAGACCAAAACAGGTGGTGGTTGTCTTAAGAGGCCACCTCCAACCGAGCCTTTAATTTGAAGTGTGATCCACAAGACAGTGGAACAGCGTCAGGTGCTACATCTCCATGGCTAACGGTGACCAAAACAGGTTCATTAGCCATTCAGTCGTTTCGGATTCTAGAGACGATGTATACTATGGCTTTGGAATCGGAGTTTTCAAGCTCCCTTAGGTGAACCAACATGATCATCAGTTTGGTGGTTGTAAGTGGTAGACGTTCGCATTGGCTCTTTGATTTTTGTGAGGAACACTCCCGCCACGTGTAGGCAATCAGCTTCCTCGACAGTGGGTAATGTTAGCTGACTGACATAGGGTCAGGTTGGAAAAGAGCCAATGATGGTCAAACGAAAACATGGCTTCAACAGTTAATGGAATCCACAACAGTTAGTTTAAGCCAGTCACGTAGGAAGGTGTAGATTTCCTGACTGGCTGAGTTCCTCGGGACGGTAAAAACCAATGGTTAGAAACAATTGGTGATATGGCTCAAACTGATCGTTCTCAATGGCTGACTGGAGCAGATGCATCCACTCCTTGTGACTTATGATTTCCAATAAAACTATATTGTTCTTCGTTATTACTATTCCTTTTTGTCTCATATCCCTGTCTACTGTCTATATTATGCATTTCTCCTACTTTCTTCTCTTGCTTTGTGTGCTACAAGGAGGGAGTGTGGCAACTTGAACTGCTGTACATCGATGCAAAGTTCTATGTCGAAAACAGACAGACAGGCTCTCTTCAGACACTAGTTAGTAAGTACCTAGTCCTTTGTTTGGTGCAGACTGAATTCTGTCAGTCAGTCAAGTTTGCAATGTGGCCACCACTATTCTAGGTGGCTCACCGCTCTGGTACACTCCGAATTGTTGGTATTAGGTGGTTTTGAGGCAGTCGTCGACAGGAAGCAGAATTCACTCTGCACCGAACAAAGAACCAACCAAACAGATAATACTCGTCACAAACTAGTGTCCAATCAAATTCTTTTTGTATGTTGGCATGCATCGTTATATTTCCGAAAAATTATATCATTTCATATTTATTTTGGCAAGTGTAAACTTTGTGTATGTCTGTGTGTGTATCACTTTGAGTCTCTCTCTCTCGCATAGGTCGAAAGGTCAGCGAATACTTGTAACACATACATATATGTCGTACTGTAACTTTTAACCCGATATGAAATAACATTGATAAAAATACCTACAGACTACTACCATTACTACTATTGCGTTTTTAATGTAAACTATGCTGTAGCTAAAGCGAGCAATTGATTTAATTTACTTGTCCGGTTGATAGCTAGCAGTAAAACCTCCGATGTGCGTTTCGTCCTACCCGGGACTCATCAACCGAGGTGTACGTACTCCCCAGGTAGTGGTAGTTTTTCCACTGAGACTCGATCCCAATACTCATTGCCTCAGACACCACACCTTTATCCATTGGACCACTGGAGCACAAGAGGTGGCTGTCACTTTACTGCTAGCCAGCAACAAACAACTTATTCTATTATGTAATATTTTACATTTTCAATCTTCCTGTTCTCGACCTCCACCCTATTTAATTTCTACACTTCATTACCACTGTTACTGACTTGACCAACGCTTAATTTCTAGTCATTTATGTTACGTCATCCAATTCATTTGCTCAACTTTAGTCCTAATTTAAATGGCATTGTTGTCTATCCCACCTCTACTTGGTCTGTACCTTTAATTACCTCTGTTGCTATCCTGACCTAAGCTGAAACATTTTAGTCAATTATATTACGTCATCTAACTTACTAACTCAATCTTACTCTAGTTGCTGTCTGATTATCTTTGTTTCTATATTAGATCATTCTTGTATTACCTGATTAATTATCTAAACTTGACAGACCTCATGAACACAAACGCATACACAGCTATGTGAATGAATTCGCCGCTGAAAAATGTCTCTTCGCTGAACGTCCTCTCTTTTTCTCTATGACTGAATGGGGATTTTTAAGCAACTTATTACATTTTTTAATTCCCGTGGGTTCCTTGTGAAACAGACGGCTTCAGCAGTACCTCTCCATTTTACTCTGCTCTCTATGATCTTTTTCACCTGGCTCCATGATTGCCTCGCTACATAATCTCCACATCACCCTCTGACGCCCAATTCACCGTTTCCTATTTGGGTTTCACTCAAGGGCCTGGCGTACAGTGTCACTCAACGATTGCTGCTTTATTGTGTATGTCAAATCCATCTGCATTTCTTTCTGCATTTTTGTTAGGCGATAGCTTTTCGATTGGTTCCGTTCCTGGAGTTCCTTGTTGCTTGATCTTTTAGTCTTCAGTGTGGAACAAATGCAGCTATTGATAAAAGTCTGTCTAGATGATAAGTGAAGGAAGTGGTCGCTTTCAAATTTATTCCAATATAGCAAAAATATTCATTCAGATATTTAGAAAAAACAAACAATTTTTATAGCGAAGAATATTCTTTTCGATAATTTCCTCTTCTGGCTCTACAATTATATATATATATAATTTTGGAGTTAGTTTGTAGGGCTTTGATTTGTTTCATGTTTGCCCACGGATTGATATCAGTTAGAGAATCGCCGGAAAACCAGCCTGGAATATTGGACAGCTGTTTCGCTCCAGCTTGGGACTCAACATCCGTAAAAACCCATTAGAATTCGAAACCAGGAATTTCCAATAACAAGTCAAACTCGTAGACTTTTCAGCCATCGGGACCCGACTTATTGGCTCATGGATTCTAATTTCTACCAATTTATGACCAGTAGATGCCACCGGGTCGGGAGTGAGAACAAATACTTGCCTATGGGACTGTCTGACGGTCACACTGAAATCACGAAATGGTAGAAGCTGGAATTCATGGACTTGCCATAGGATTGGGCTCCAGTGACTGAATGGTCTAGTAACTTTCCTTGTAATTGGGAGTCCCTAGGTTCGAACCTCGGTGGTTGCACACTGATAGTGAGTCCCAAACTAGGATGAAACAGTTGTCCCGTATTGCCTGATGGTTTTCAACGGTTCTCTAACTGGTAATTATTTTAAATTCAATTTTGACTTTCCCGTTCATTAATTGGACCAAAATGTTCGGCCTTTCTTGACATGTCGGCTTCTGGTATGGACGCTTCGACGATTTCTCAGGATTTAAACTTGAAGTGACTAGCAGAAGATGAGTCACATATATGACGAAACACGCATCCTGGATTCAATTGCTAGTCACCATCTTACAAATATAGTTCTTTATTGAAAGCCTGAAATTATTGACACAGTTATCTGAGATGGTTGTAGACTAGTAGTTGTAGTTTTTGTGGGAACCTTGGTTTTGGTAAAGTTGAGACCTATGAGTTTCAATGAAATATTCCTTTTGTGAATGTACCAGTGATTTTCAAGTTATGTTTATGCATCTCTTATATTTACGTGATGGGCAAGGTACCTGCGGATTAGAAGAAAGACTATTTATCCAAACTGCCGAAGAAAGGGGACTTAAGTCAATGCAAGAACTGGCGCGGAATTATGCCCCTGTTCATTCCAAGCAAAATATTAAGCCGCATCATTCTGTAGAGAATCAAACACGCTGCCCTGGGTGAAAAACTTCGACTGAAACAGGCTGGATTCAGGAGAAACAAGTCAGGCATCGATCAAATCGCAGAACTACAGATCATCATTGAACAGAGCTTGAAATGGCAGTCACCTCTCTACCTTACTCAACTTCATCGACTTTGAAAAGGCCTTCGACAGCATCGATCGAGGTGATTTGGCAACTACTTCGCTGCTACCAAGGGGTGCCACCGACAATTATACATCTCATCCAACAGTTGTACGATAATGCTGCGTGCCAAGTAATCCACAACGGGAATCTCACGGAATCCTTCTAAGTGAAGACGGGAGTAGGACAAGGCTGCCTACTATCACCAATGATTTCCCTGATTGCAGTAGACTGGATAATGCGACAAACAGTGGGCAATGAGGAGACTGGCATAAAATGAACCCACACAAAAAGAGACTTGGAGGATCTGGACTTCGCCGATGGTATATATCTGATTTCCCACAAACTGGAAGATATGCAAGTGATGAAAAGCAACAAGTTGGCGGAAGAAGCATCCAGAGAAGATAGGACTTCCTTCAGGTGAACATAGAGAAGGCAGAGGTGATGAAGATTCCTGGCCAACAGCCACAACGACAACAACAACAGACAACAATCATCATAAATGGGAGAAATTTGAAAGAAGCAACCTCCTTCACCTACCTACCTACCTACCTACCTACCTACCCGGGAAGCATTGTTCCAACTGCAGGCGGGCGGAACTGATAAGGATATCAAAGCAATGAGGATCGGGAAAGCAGGGCAAGCAAGCTTTCATTACTCTCAAGTCTGTGGGGAGGTGAACAGCACTACTCAGCATGAAAAATGCGATCCGGATTTTCAACTCCAATGTGAAGTTAGTGCTACTTTATGGATCGGAGACTTGGCGCGTCATGAAGAGCACCTCAAACAAACTTCAGACCTTCATCAACAGCTGTCTTCACTCAATACTCAAGATCAGATGGCTGGCAACAGGCATCTCTGACGATGAACGAAACAACGCAGGAGAAACCGATTTTACAACAAATAAGCAGGGAGAAATGGAGGTGGATTGGCCATACTCTGATGAAACCATCAAGTGACATCACTAGATAGGCTATCGCTGGAGTGGAACCCGAATGGGAAGCGGCGAGTTGGTCGTCAGTGTGAGAGTGACATGGAGGAGGTTATGTGAAGAGGAGATGAATGCATGTGGGCAGACTTTAAGCCAGATGAAAACGTTGGCAGAGAACCGAACGCAATGGGGATGTGCATCTGAATCCTTGTGTTCCTCTAGGAACTAAAGGAAACAATAAAAATAATATTCACATGATATTTGATTGGACAAATCTTTCAGTGATTGAAGCAAGATTAATATATTCTTTAATTGGCTAATTGATTTGAGTAGTAGTCAACTTTTAGTCAGTATGTTTCATGTTCACATTCTACTCCAACGTGGCCAATTCGCCCCTCTCCTCTCTGCGGTTGCGAGAAATAGTCATTGGAAGTGAAGAATATAAAGGGACTGGCTGTTTTTGACCACAGGTGTTCGCGTTCTATCTTTTGTGTCAGGTAGCACAATATGGTTGGTAATATTGAGGTTAGGCGTAGAGTGTTGGGTGAGGAGAGGAAATCAATCGTGGGAGCTGTGAAGTTATATCGATTGAGATGGCTAGGACAGGTGCTACTCATCCCAAACCATGGTTTTCCTCGACGAGCAATGTTAGCTGGCATATAATTAGTTTTCAAAAGGGTTAATGTGATGGTCAGACCAAAACATGGAAACAGTCCATGAAGTTTTTGACTGTTGCTTTAAGTCTTATAGGGAGGTGGAGACTGCCTGATTGGGATCCTCGAAACTCTAAGAATCAATGGTTTGAAATAATTCAACATTACATTTATTGAATGATGGCTGGTGATGCTACTTAGTTGCTGTGGTGATGTAGCTCATTGGCTTTATCATTCCGTTTTTTTTAAGTCACTCAGTCACAGATTCGAGCTCTACTCCCTCTACTTCATCCCTAGGTAACTGTGTTTTTCAAGTTTTGTGGGTTTTTTTTGATTGGTTAGAGGATTTCATCATGATCTGACATCAGTAAGAGAGCTTGGAAAACCTGGGAGTACTGGACAGCTGTTTCGTCCTAGTTTGGGACTCTTCACCAGTACGTGCCTGCCACAGAGGGTTCGAACCCAGGACCTTCTCGTTACAAGGTGAGCTTGTAGACTATTAAGCCACTGGGACTCGATCCAATGGTCAATGAATTCTGAATTCTGCCAATTCATGACATAGCGCGACCACTTCGCAATGTCTTCTTCGATGAGTTACTGCCTCTCCTTCAACCTGCTGTAGCCTACTGGTCACGCCTGAATAAAGCCAGTCGCTAGTGGGAAGCCGCAACTTGACTAGGCTGCCATTTGATCTTCAGTATGTAGTCAGCCAGCGAAGTTGGTAGCTGTTGATAAAAGTCTGTTGTGGCCTGTTGGAAATCCTTTTCATGACGTGTGTTCAGTGAAAGTTTCTGACCTATATAGAAGGACTGAATGACTGACTGACTTGACATTTGTGTTGAAAAGAATCCTAATCTTGTTGTTTATGCTGGCTGGCTGAGTGAGTGTAGAATATTTCCAAACTGGTTTCAGGTTGATGAAGGCGTATCTTGTCTTTCAGATTCTAGCTGGCTGGCTGGCTGTGACATCTTCATCCGTGCTGTCCAACTGCCTGTGGTTAAAGCCGTGCTTTGTGGCCGGATAAGTGAAGGAAGCAACCTCTTTGAAATCTCTCCCTTTGATGGTGATTGGTGCTGGTTGTTGTTGCAGCCATTGGTGCGTGGTTGGTTGGTTGGTTATCTTTATCACCTCCGTCTTCTCTATGTTCACCTGGAATCCTGCCTTTTCTACCAGTCTCTTCTGCCAGTTTGTTAGTTTTCACCTGCCTGCAGGTCTTCGAGTTTGTGTGACATTTAATCATCTGCAAAATCCAAATCTTCTAGAGTCTTCTTGTTGGTCAGTCCAGCGTATTCTTGTCTCCTCACTCAGTTAGTATACTGGAACATAGAAATATAGCTAAAGCCAGGATGATTAATCCTGCTATGTTAAATAATATAGAAAAAAACAGGACTCAACTATTGTAGTGCATTCATTTGCATTTAGTCACATAATAGGGTGGGACAGGGTGAAAGTAATATAGTTAAATCGAGAGAGGGAGAGCGGTTAATCACTGAATCTTCGAGTCAACACCAAACACATGTAATCAAAATGACTCAACAACTCTCCCTAATATGTGGAAAATTTCAATAAAAGCCAGGATAAAGTGAAACTACATATAAAGCAAATTGTGTGATTGCATCTATATGATTATGAGCAATAAATTGTGTTTTTTTTAAAGAAGGGTCATCCAGTTAGTTAATCAATACACCCCGTTACTCCGTCTATATAAATATCAAATAAAAACATATAATATGGAATTTCGAGGTGCATTGTTGTAACTTGAAGTCAATTGGTGGGTTGCGATTAGCAGTAGAATCCAGGACGTGCATTTCGTTCTAATTGGGACTCGTCAACTGGACATACCAGCACTCTCCAGTGAATGATGATGTTCTCACCGAGGCTCGAACACAGTACCCATAGTTTCAAACGCCAAAGCGTTATCCACTATTAATATGATCGTTGCACAAGAGGTGGCTGTCGTGACCCAAGTGGTCTAGTGGATAACACTCTGGCGTTGTTCGAGCCCTGGTGGGAACACCATCTCTCACCTGGGAATGGCGGTACATCCGGTTGACGAGTCCCAAATAAGACGAAACCCGCGTTATCCTGGATTCCCCTGCTAGTCACCATCCACCAATTGACTTCAAGTTACATGATCAAACATCTTCGTCGAAGCATCTGCACAAGAAGCCGACATATCATTCTGTGACCGATCACTTCGATCCAATCAATAAATGGGAAAATGTAAAATTGAATTAAGTGGATTGTTGTAAATTTAATCTTTTTTTCCAATACAATCATCTCCACGTTTATGTTTTTTGTATTTTAGCTGTGCAAAGAAATATTCAATCAACCCTATATGATATTTTCATTACTTGTCCCATTGGTACATCGTAATGATACACTGGGTGATTCAGCTAGAGATTCATTTCTGTTAATATTTGCTATTTCTAAAAAAGACGATCAACTTGGTCAATATTTAGCATATGAATCTGATATATGCCCGGTAAGTTGGTTTCTTTTTTAATCTACTCTACTTTACTGACTTACTTATTTTGTGTCTGGAGTGGATCATGAGACGACTTCAGCAGGGCGTCGTCATTTCACTCAGTTCTTTGTAGTTCTTTATAGCTAGCTGCCTCGCAGATCTTTCATAAGCTTTCATTATCTCTTCTTCCTCCTCATCTTGTTGATATAATAATAATCTGGATTTTCAACTCCAATGTGAAGTCAGTGCTACTATACGGATCAGAGATTTGCACTGCGCGTCATAAAGAGCATCTGAAACAAACTACAGACCTTCATTAACAGTAGTCTTCGCTCAATACTCAAGATCAGATGGCCAGAAAAGATCAGCAACAGGGATCTCTGGGAGCGAACCAACCAACGCAGCAGGAACCGATTGTGAAACAAATAGACAGGAAGAAATGGAGATGGATTGGTCATACTCTGAGGAAACCATCAAGTGTCATCACTAGACAAGCCATTGCTCGAGTGGAACCCGAAAGGGAAGCGGCGAGTTGGTCGTCAGTGTGAGGGTGGGGTGACTTGGAGGAGGTCATGTGAAGAAGAGATGAAAACGTGTGGGCAGACATGGAGCCAGGTGAAGACTGTAGCAGAGAACGGAACGCAATGGAGACGCACGACTGAAGCCCTATGTTCCTCTAGGAATTAAAGGATATTATAAATAATAACAATAGTATAATAATAATAATAATAATTTACTTTATTCCAAAAACAGTACTTATAATACAGAATGGAATTCTCAGCATTTGCCACAATATTGCATCTGATTTACTCAAAATATATATGTATATATAATTAAAAATTAAGACAAAATTATTAGGAGGAATTTATCCACATTTACGACATAATTATTAGATATAATAATAATTATAACAGTGAGTTTGTTTCAAACGGTATTGCCGATTCAGTTTGGGGACTTCAGCATGTTATAGATTATTGGGTCTAATGTTCTGTTGATATAGTATACAAGATATGAAATGACCAAGAGACGTCAGACGAAAGAACTATTCCAGGGTATTTAATACTTGATTTAGTCTCTATTTCAGCGCCTTCCATGCTAGAGGCATTATTTGAAAAACACAGTTCGTGTAGATAACTTTTATGCTTCAAGGTGGAGTTAACTGTTTGATATTTGGAGGGATTTAACATAAGACCATTTGACTTAGACCACTGGCTAATGTTTGACAAAAAGCTATTTAGTTTGAAACAGTCAGATTGAGAATTACCTGGCGACGGGACAGTTATCAGCATATTTAACGAAGTTGATTTTGTTCGTAAAAGGCATCCATCGGAGTCTGAACTAATGACCTCCCGGTTACAAGGTGATCCCGTAGACCATTCAGCTATTGGGACCCGACAGTGGGAGTTGTGCCACACTGGTCTAGGCACTCAGCTTCTAAGCCGTTGGGTTGCGAGTTCGAACACCTCTCCTCCTCCTACTCCACCTATTGAAGTTTGGGCATCCAGGTAGTAGTCACACACACTCCGCGTTTACTCAGGCCTGAGCAGTTGATTATAATCAAAGATATTCAATAAGTGTGGTTCCATAACCTTCCTGTTATGGAGTGATTGATTTGTCTACTAAACTGCAGAAACCGGTGAAAGCTTCCAATATTGCTATTTAATAACGGTCTAATTAACTATGAAACTAGCAGCAAGAACTGAATTCATCCACTGTTCATTTCGTACAACTAATTTCCCCCACCCCACCCGTCCCTACATTATTATGCATTTTAATTAGTAGTATTTGAAATAAGTTGTTCATTTAGAGTTCACCTTGGAAACACCAATGATCATTGAAATTTGATGCTTTGTTTTAAGTCTTTTTTTGTATCAAATATGACTTAACCAATCAAAATTGAAAGCATGAATTGAATAGGTTAAAATCGATACTACCTTGAAATCGATTTGTCTGCCTCACTTCACAGTGTCCCAATTGAATGTTAGTTGTCATTATTTTCAATGGTGGGTTGTGGGGATTTGATTGATCTCAAGTTTGATCACGAATTGACTTTTATTAAGGAACAACTGAACCTGGTGTTGTTGGCTTTAGTAAGAAGTCGTCACCAGCGAGGTCCATCAAGTTGCGCTTGAGCACAAGTACTCAATGATGATATTGGCTAGCGGCAGAAATTAGAATTCATGGACCAGTCATCATTGAGTTCTATTCGAGTGGCTGAGAATGATCGACAGCCTAGTAGTGTAGGTCGAAGACCCTTAGTTCGATTCCTGGCAGTAGGGTCATGCGTGCGTACTGATGAAGAGTCCCAAACTGGAACAAAACATCCCTCCGGCTCTCCCTGGCTGGTTTTCAATGGTTCTCCCACTGAAGTCAGTTTGTGGTCAAATTTGGAATTTTCAGGTATTGGTTTTGTAGGGATTTTGTTTGATTGCATGGAGGATTTCATCATGAGCTGACATCAGTTAGAAGACTATTGTAAAAACCAACTGGGAGCACTGGACAGTCGTTTCGTCCTAGCTTGGGAGTCTTCATCAGTACTCAGTTCATGATGAAATCCTGTAACCAATCAAACACAATTCCTACAAAACCAATATTGGAAAATTAATCTGATGCTCACTAGTGACTGGCCCTGCGGGTTTTAGTGGGAAGCCGTGACAAGTAAGTTACAGCAGGTTGAAGACGAGGCAGTAGCTCATCGAAGAAAACATTGCGAAGTGGTCGCGCTATGTCGTGAAATGGCAGAAGCTAGAATTCATGGGCCATTGGATCGGGTCCCAGTGGCTTAATGATCTACGAGCTCGCTGACCTTGTAACCAGAAGGTCTTGGGTTCGGACCGTCGCAGTGGGTGCATACTGCTGAATAGTCCCAAAGTAAGACGAAACAGCTGTTCAGTACCCCCAGGTTTTTCAGTGGTTCTCTAACTGATGTCAGCTCATGATGAAATCCTTCATGAAATCTGGAACTACCATTATTACTAATAAATTACCGTTTCATAGTCACTAGTTCTTCTTTGCACTGATATATTTGATCAAAGCAATCGAAAGCAAATATACGAAGATTATATGAGCTCATTTTTTCATCGTTATTTCGCTGATACCTTTAAACGGATTCCATCCCGTAAATAGCACTAAAGCACATATAAATTGTAAACAAAAGAGGTTTGAACACGTTTTTATCATATTGACAACAAGTTTTCGATGTAAAAGAAAGTTAAATGATTAAGCTGTTGGTTTCTATGATCGTTGCAAAATTGATGATAGTTATATAGAAATCACGTCCGACGTTAAGTATCTTGCATTAATTCTTTCAACTGACCTATCCTGGTCTTCTTATGTCTTAGCGATTTCTCAAAGAACATTTCGTCTGACTTTTTACATTAAGAATTTGAGGCACTCAAGCATAACTCAACCCCTCCTCTTACAGTTTGTCAACTCGGGCATCTTAACGATTCTTCTTTACTGTTCACCCTTGCTTATTCTCTCCTGGACTGCTTAAAAAGGACTATGTCATACTTCGTAGAACTCTGAAGACTGCCAATAGGGCGAGTGGTACCCCTTTGGGCTATATCGTTGACATCTCATTATTGCTAGGCACTTGATATCATGCAATAAATTTGTTAAAGGAATTTTGTCAGCCTGTGGGCATCCACTTTACCCACAACTCCAACCTTGTGTCTCCTCAGGTAAGACAAGAAGTCTTTTCAGAAGACTTTATGCACGTACGTTTTAGTATAAAAATTCCACTATACCATATTTGGCGTCACGTATTTTATGTGATGAAAATAGTGTCAGACATGAACTAACTAACTAACCTTCTTTGCACCACTAAAGAAACCATTTCCTCCACCTTTACAACATCAACCTTTATTGTTATTGTATTTCTTATATTATAATCCTCTCAATTTTTTGTCTTTATTTGTTTATTTTTTCATAAGTGTGAACATCATTTAAGCTGTGTAATAACTGTTAATTTTGTATTTCCCCTCACTATACTGTATCAACGGAACATAAGTTCGAGTAATCTATAACATGCTAAAATTCCCAAACTGAATCGACAATACTGTTTGAAACAAACTCACTGTTATTATTATTATTATATTTAGTATTCTCAATTCGTGCTTCGAATATTTTTGACTTTATATCGTAAATGTGAACAAATTCCTCTGGTTAATTTTGTTTTAATTTTTAATTTTATTTATATTTTGAGTAAATCAGATGCAATATGTGTGACAAATGCTGAGAATTCCATTCTGTATTATAAGTACTGTTTTTGGAATAAAGTAGAATATTATTATATTGTTATTATTATTGTTTCCTTTAATTCCTAGAGGAACATAGGGCTTCAGTCGTGCGTCTCCATTGCGTTCGGTTCTCTACTAGAGTCTTCACCTGGCTGCATGTCTGCCCACACGTTTTCATCTCCTCTTCAGATGACCTCCTCCAAGTCACCCTCACACTGACGACCAACTCGCCGCTTCCCTTTCGGGTTCCACTCGAGCAATGGCTTGTCTAGTGATGTCACTTGATGGTTTCCTCATAGTATGGCCAATCCATCTCCATTTCCTTCTGCATATTTGTTTCACAATCGGTTCCTGGTTGGTTTGCTCATTGCCAGAGATCTCTATTGCTGACCTTTTCTGGCCATCTGATCTGGAGTATTGAGCGAAGACAACTGTTAATGAAGGTCTGTAGTTTGTTTCAGGTGCTTTTTATGACGCGCAGTGCAATTCTCTGATCCGTATAGTAGCACTGACTGACTTCACATTGGAGTTGAAAATCCGGATCTTATTTTTCATGCTGAGTGCTGTTGACCTCCACACAGACTTGAGGGTAATGAAAGCTTGTCTTGCTTTCCCGATCCTTGCTTCGAGATCCTCGTCATTTCCGCCTGTATTTGAAACGATGTTTCCCAGGTAGGTAGGTGAGTAGGTGAAGGTTGTTTCTTTCAGGTTCCTTTCATTTATGCTGATTGTTGTCTGTTGTTGTTGTTGCTGTTGGTGGTATTGCCCAGGAATCTT